TCGAAAATCTAGGTCGGTTTCTGTGTATCTGGTTTCTCCTTTTTCCTTGATTCCGTCCTCACAGAAGATAGTTTTCTGATATGAACTCGAAATCGTCGGTGAGCAACAGAGAGAAGCTGGTGAGAAATTTTTCTGATATCATGCCCTATATTGTTTATTCTAGTAGACACCGAAGGGAAAAAATTTTCGAGAAGGTTGTTTTTGGTGTAATTAGCATATTAGGGTTGTAGGTTTGATGATTCTATTTATGAATTTATGGATGCATGTTTATGTTTTAGGAGGTCGTATTATATATTCATGAGGCTTATATGTTATACTAAAAAGTCATAATTTTTGTTTGATGGAGTCACAATTCAATTATGTATACATTTTTCTTTAAAATTTGAGACTGCGTATGTTTGATTTTGTCTTGAAATGCATGTCTTTGAATGTTGTTTTGCTATATTAGATTAATGGAGGAATCTGTGAGAAGAAAAGAAAGATTGAAAGCAATGCACTCAGAAGCTGCACTAGTTGATGTTCCTAATGATGTTGAGACTTCTGGGGTGCCTGGTCAGCTCTCTAATCCAATGATTGAAACCTCCTCAATGCAAGAGGAGTTCCTAGCTAATTCACGGTTTGATTTTTACACCGACCCTATGGCAGCCTTTTCTGCTAACAGGAAAAGGGGCAAGGTTGATGGCCAAGGCGGGCAAGATTATTTTACACCTCCAAATACTAGTGGTTGGCGAGGGGGACAGCATTCATCACCCCTTCCAGGTAATGCACTTTTCAATACAATGTGAAATGGTTTTCTATTCTGATTTTTATTAATGGCAGGAGGTGTTGTTTCCTAGTTTGATATTTGATTGATCTTCTCATGGTAATCTAAAGCCCCCTTAGCAACTTGTTTCACTGAAAAGAGAACCTTTTGTTTTTTGGTCTGCCAAAAAGGTGAACTAATCCTATTGACAACTTGGTTTAAACAAAAGGGATGCAAACTTATCCATAGATACTCATAATATGATCCTTATGGTAATGGATTTCATGTATTTTTATTCTCATTTAGCAGTACCAAGGAATTCCAAGGATACTCCCTCTCTTGTCTATCAGATGCAGAACAATTATTTACAGGATCTTAGAATGTACCAAACGCAAAGCCCATACAGTAGGACAAGTCCTCTACCCATGCATCAAGGAACTCCTGATGCTTGGAATGGGTCCAGAGGCAAAACTAACTATTACAACAATCCTCCCATTGGAAGCGCATGGGGATATATCAGCCCTTCCTCCTTTTATTAGGGAGCCCCTAGACCCTGGTATGGAGCAGGAGATGCAGGTAGCTACAGTTCTCCATCCATTCGACCCATAGGCACTAATTCACCCAGTCCTCGCTCTGGGCCACTGGGTACACCTGATTTCAGTCATGGACAGGGCAGGTCTCAATTTGGCAACAATCTAATCTATGGTTCAGTTCACAGAGGAAGTACTGGTTCTTTTTCTGGAGGAGGCAGCAGGGGCAATGGCTATGGCAACAGTCCTAATATAGGGAGGGGTGGCAGACAAGGGCCAGGATTTTATCGCCATAACTTGTCATCTGACAGAACTCCAGGGGCAGAGCGTTTTTATCATGAATCCATGTTGGAAGATCCTTGGCAGCATTTGGAACCTATTTTATGGAGGAAGCAAGGCAATGAAATGACTAACCCTTGCTCTTCAAATTCCTGGCTTCCAAAATCTAATAGTGTGAAAAAGGAGAAAGTTCCAGAACCCTTCAACAAGTCCAGTTCTCAACCAAGCCTTGCAGCATATCTTGCTTCCTCGTTCAACAAAGCTGTTAAGGATTCACCAAGTGAATGATAATTATTAGAGTTCCAAAGAACAATTCATGCATTTATTTGCAACAGATTATCATGTGGAGGACATCTATAGCAATAATCTATACCTTTGATAACTAGATTCCAGTTAAGAGTATTCGCTATTTAGGGTTCATGCTTAGCTGCAGGCAACGGTGAGGTTTCATAAACTACCTTCAGAAATGTAGTTCTTGTAGGCTATTGTATCTAGCAACATGAGATCATTATTAAAGTGTAAATCTTCAGGTGGCTCATAGCTGCACTAATCCAAAACTATAAATGTTATATTTTTCTCAGTTTTCTTGCTAACACTTAATCCACTAGCATGGGGCTTTAGAGTCAGAATTTTTCACTTTAATAGGCTCTTGCATTATTTTTCTTGCTTTTCCTTTTTTTAGCTACTTGCAACTAGAAAACTTGACTCAGTTGCATGAATTTTCTTCCCTCAAGCATGTTCATGACGACTAGCATAAAAGCTCAATGTTGCCTCTCAAAGGGATGTTAAACACACATTGACTGAATACGAGCATTAATTTGAGAGAGATAAGAAATAAAGCTCATTTTCCCTTTTCATGCACAAAACTTTCCAGTGCCTTCACACATCTAATATGTAAAGTTCTCACTTCCCACAAAATAAACAATTCTCCTATTCTACTTTAATGCCATAATCTAGCACAGAACCTATGCCCAGAATTGTTTTTTGCTCACAATAGATCTCATCCATGAAGGTATGACTTATCTGTTCAGCCAAGCCTACTGGGTCACCGATCAAAGCATCCACAAAAACACTGATCACCCTTCTCTCTTGTTTTGTTGCTTTGTGGCTGAATCACGTAAGGAACTTAACTCTAAAATCCTTGTCCATGTGCCTTTCGTGCTCTAACCACTTTACCATTCTTACGGCATACTCATAGTCACTCTCCTCCAAGCTCTTTTTACAGTGAGCGCCAGGTAACTCCCTTGTTGTTTGCAACTTACAAGGTGTAGAAGGATAAAGTGATGAGGGACTCAAAGGAGGAACTTTTTCCAAGAAATGGGGTGAATGCAACCCATCATTCATACACTTGCTTGCTTCGTCAAATGTTGGAAGCTTTGCATCATGCTCTTCAAAGGCTAGCTCAGTGTTGCTTGAGTTAGTTGAGTTCACTTGAGAATAAATTTGAGCTGTTCTAAGAGTTTCTTCCTTTTCATGTACTAAAGCTGCAATACAATTTTCACTTGAAGCAGGTGTTACCCATTTTGCCTCCCATACACCTACCTTCTCCTTGCTGCTAAAAAGAGAAACTTTGCAGAAATACTCAACTGAAGGGTTGAGATCCATTATCTTAAATCTTTTTTGTGGCCTCAATGCAATGAAAGTTGGGTTATCTGGACAAGCATTCTTAGTAGATTTCCAGTGCCAAATTCTGCAGCCAAAGAAGCCTTCTATAAGATTATGGGCATAATTGAGACAATGATTACTGAGGTTAGGGACAGTTCTTCAAATTGGATCTGGCAAGCTGCAAAGAAGAATAATAATCAACATCGTAACATATGGGGGGGAGGGGGAGAGAAAGAGATGATACAACTCTCTCTCCTTTACAATCATTATGTCAAATATGAAAATCTGAAGGAACTGACATGTTGGCTCTTTCTTTTTCACATGATTGTTTCAAGGCTTAGACACCATGGAATCAAAGGCTTTCATTGCAGAAGCACACAAGTTTTGAACCTCAGGACCGCAGGATAGCCTGTTGACAATTCCTCGTGCCAGCTTTGTACACAATAAATTCAAAGGCCCTACTTCATTCTCTAGTGTTTGCAAAGCAGTTTCCAGCATCTTCTTAACTTCTTCATATTTCTCAGATCCTATCAGAATTTTATGACCTAAAGAGATTCGCAAATAGAGCACGTTCACTCTCCTGGTCTCCTTGGCCACTAACAGCTGCTTTCTCTAGGTTCTGTAATTTAAAAATGGATACACACTCAGTTAGCCAATTTCAACCTCATTTCCTCAATTATGTCACATGTGAGCTCTGCTTCTCTTTTAAAAGGCAAAATGATATTATAAATATACCAGAAATTTTTCTTTATATTTGTGTTAGGTAGGGAGACTCAGAAATTGCCATTTTAAAAAAGGAAAAAAAAAAAGAATAGCTATAGATATCTACTCTCCATAAAATAAAAGTGCAAGAGAATACACACACATTTACAATCAGTTACATTTATTGGAAAAGTGGGTATCAGACTGTATTGCAAAAAATTAGGTGAAAAAAATATCTTAAAATTACGTAGTTTAAATAAAGTCCCACTGAAGAAGGCTAACTTATCTTAATTTTCAAAGGAGGAATGAGTTTGTTTTGGTCTTTTCTCATGGTGCTTTACTAAAACGATGTAGTTTTAGGCTATTTTCTCACTTAATTTTTTGCAATACCAACTGATACTCATTAATCGTTACATTTAATAGGTGTGGAGAAGAACCTGTCTTACCTCATTAGTCCATTTATCTTCCCACAAGCAGCGCAATAGAAATTTCCATCAAACTTCACAGAACAATTGCTCTTAATGATGCCAGCTCTTTCATCTGTCAAAGCACAGTCAAGATGGCATGATATTCCACATGACTCATTCTCATCAAGAGAATCAAATTCCCACGTTAACCATAGACTAGGATCCTTGTTATCATCAGACTGATGACAAATACAGTAAGAACATCTCTTGCAAAAGATATCATCTTGACTTAAAAAAGCTCTGCATGCAGCATTTTGGCAAAATTGGATTTTACTGCATTTTTCTTCAGCCCTCCCATAGGGAACATGGGTTAACTCATTTGACGGTTCAGGTGGGGGTTCATTCTGCCTTTTCCTTTTAAACGCCTTGTCAAGCATCACTTATGGAACAGAACAAGGATGACCCCTCTCTCTTCCCCTTGGCTTCTGAGAAATTAGCTTTAGGAGGTGCTCTATCATTCTTTGTTTGTTATAACCAGAGTATTTTCTCTTTTTGCCTATCTCTGCACATATGATTTCAAGAAGTTCCTTGCGAGTAAATGAACTAAGAATCTTTGAGGCATTATTTGAAAATTGTGCAATCTCATGGACCAATTCTCTTTTCTCTTCCAAGCTTAATTGACTACATTTGGATGGATCAAGAACAAAACCTGGCAAAAGTAACTATCAACTTCAACTTCTCTATGGATAAAGTAAGCTTCACTATAACAAATAACAAATTTGTCGACATGACTGTGAAGGAAATAATCAAATTTCCCACTACAACCCTCAATCAAGCAACTTGATAAGACATAATGCAAAATGAAATCAAGAACTATGAGAACTCAAATGACTAAAAATCAATCAACTTAGTGGCAAAAACCATGACAGGATCACATTGGTTCACATAATATAATGAACACTTTGTATTTAAGCATCTGCATCTCCTTCCTAAAACTAGAACTCAAATACAACTGATCATGTGTTAAAGAATTATCACAATGAGCAACAATAACCCAACATTACACTTATCAAACCTTCCATATAGATGAAAAAAATGGATTCAACAATTAAAGCTTGAATGCCACTAACTACCATTGTCAGAGTCTGTCATTACTATTTCATGTCATAGGGGTATATTAGTCTCTTCTTAATACCCATAACAAGCTTTAAAACAAAAATCCAAGAGAATAACAACCACCCTGAGTTAAAAGCATGAAACAAAAAAGGAGAATATTTTAGTCAAAGAGAAAATTTTATCTACGACATGCACAGTGTACATGGTTGTTGGTGTCTAAAACACTGGAATATAGCTATGAAATAAAAAGAAAAAAAAAATCTAAACCCACAATACAACAAACATTGACAAACAAACAGCATAAAAATGGCAAAGAAATATGCAGGATGGAAGAGGAATAAAGCTACAATTTTTAGAGAGAAAATGCAAAACCTAGGTTGGAAATAGACTAATATTAGATACATTGTCAAAATAAAACAACAAAAAAACCCAAAAAAAGGGAAAATAAGGAAGAAAATGAAGAATGAGAACAAACCCGAGAACATTGATTTTGATTCCATCCCTGCAAACCCCTTCCTTTCTTCCCTTGTTACCAATTCCACATTCAGGATTTGAAAAATAAAATAAATTTTCAATAGAGGATGGGAAATGGCGCAGATGAAAACATTAACCACACACATTGTAATTGGTAGGAGAAGGATGAAACGAGTAAAGAAGATAAATTAAAAGAAGGTTAAACCCTCATTTTGGTCCCTCAACGATTGTATAGACCTCTGATTTAATCCCTCAACTCAAAATCCCTAATTTGGTCTTTATTATTTACCATTTTGACCCCAACTTGATCCTTCCATTAAAAATCTGCCTACGTGTGTCGTTATTTGACGTGAGAAAGATGATATGTTAAAATATTTTAACACATAGGACGTGTCAATGATTTAAGTAACTCAGTAATCATTTCCTTTCGCTAGAAATAAAAGATTCTAAGTTTAAGTCGCATGACTTGTAGGTGAAGTGGGATAAGGAATGGAGATAATTGCCTCTCATTGTGCAAGTGTGCAACCAAGATAAAAAAAAAAAAAAAA